AAGTCTGTTGTCCTTTCAATGGACGGAAAAGTTAAAATATGAAAAGTGTCACCCTTTCAATAGGCAGCCGTGTATATAAATTTGGACATTACCTCCTTTTCAATGCACGGTAGAGTACATTTTTAAAGTGTGTCGCATTTTCAATGGACGGCAGTGCTTACGTGTCTTTTTTTTGTTTGAAACTATGGTAATATGGTATATATAGTTGAAATGTGTGGCAAAAGAGTATTTAATGTTTAATAATATAGTAATATGGAAAAAAAATTCAAATACGGCGGCGTCATCTACATGTTTAACAGTTATATACATTTTATGTATTAAGTTCAAATAACATAATTAAATAAAATATTAATTTATACATTTCATTATGATATTTTATATTACTTATTGAAGTAAAGTAAGTTTTTATATTCTGTGAATATTATTTTTGTGTTAAATTAAAAAAAAAAATTCAAAGTATATTTTTAAATATTTTTTGTCATCAATTTTAATTTGATTCAAAAGAAGGGGAGAATAAAATGTCGGTCTTGCAAGCTATTTACAAATGGTTAAAAGGGTGTCATATATCATATAATATAGGGAATTAGGTCTAGCGACCGAGTTACAACTCTAATATGACAATAAAAGAATTGTTTAGCAATGGCAGTGATGAGTAACGAAGGTATTGGAGGTCGCAAAACGAGTTCTATTTGGTGCGGGGATATCATGTTTTTGGGGTTTGATAAGGATAAGTCATTGGATCAGTTTATGGAGAACATTCGCGGAACTTTGGATAATGGCAGGAGGATGTCTTTTTGGTATTGTAAATGCATGGAGAATCAAACTCTTAAGGAGACATCCTCTAATTTGTTCAGTGTTTTCCCAAAACAGAAGGGCAGTGTGGCTGATTTTGGCTTCTGGCATGGTTCAGTTTGGATCTGGTTAATACCTTTGTCTTTCCTTTCTCTTGGTTCGGTTCTCTCTAGAGAATTGGAGAAGCTTGAGTTACTATTGGCAGAGAGGGAGCCTGTTGTTTGTTGTTTGGAACAATTTCGTATGGTCCCATGAGGACTCTGTTGTTTTTACTATTATTTCTTGTTATGAAATATTTTTTCAGGACATGCAGCCCTTCGTAATCGTAGATGAAGTGACCTTAGCATTGAAGATAATGTGGAGATCCAATATCCCCATCTAAAACGCAGCTGTTTTGTGGATGTTTTTTGGACAGATTAGCGACGAAGGATCAATTAGTGAAGAAAGGTATCAACTTTGGAGGTAACAACCTGTCTTGCACTCTGTGTAACTGCTCAGCTGAATATTCTTTTCATCTTTTTTTGGAGTGCGTTTGTGCGAAAAAGTTGTGGTTGGGAGTGGAGAGGTGGCTGAGATTGGACTTGAGACGTCCCCCCAATTGTGTATCTTCCTTTGTTAGTTTCGATATATCATTGAGGAAGGAGGTCGAAAACGAGTTTGGTAACATAATCTGGTCATTCACCGTGTGGATTTTGTAGAGGGGTAGAAATAATTCCATTTTCAGAAGTATGACTTTTAATGTAGAGGATACGCTAAACTCTATTAAATTTATGTTTTGGAGATGGTTATGTTTAGAACACAAATCATTTTCCTTTTGTGCATTTTTTTACTGGTTTACTTCTCCGATTAGTTGTATCAAACAGATGTAACATTCTCGTTGTTGTCTTTTGTAAGGGTTTTGAGTACCTCGTGTACTCTTTTGAGTTAATTCCATTGTCTATTAAAAAAATTATTTGTGGCTCACTCCTTGTAGAGTGCAATAACCCGTTTTAAAAATATAATTATTTACATACCACCTATATAGTTTATGTTGTGAAATTGAAAGATACAACCATTACAAAATATTTTTAATATTTGGTACAAAGAACAATAACAATTAAAATAACTGATTTCACACAAAAAAGTGTTAGCAAATCCACACGAGCAAAAAGAAGAAGATAAAGTGACAAATACATTAAGAATTTACTTACACAATTCGATTAAGATTTGTCAGACGTGATTACAAATCAGTTACAAGAAAATACTCTTCTGAGTTTCCAAGAACATGTTCTATCTCTCTTTACTCATGAATTCCTCCTTGAAGATATCTTTGGTTTTGAGTCATGCAACCATTCAACAACATTCAAAGTAAAACAAAGATGGTACAATTATCCTTCATACCCTATCAGAGTCAAATGATAATCAAAAGTCACGTAAATATTTCCTTATTAAAATTAGAATCGGGAGCCCTAACTTTCTCATATTCCTTAGACTTCCTAGTACGAACCTACATCTCAAACCAAGTATTCATCATAGTTCTTATTTCTTTCATCTCCAAATCTTTACTTTTCCTCCCTTTACATGTCTTACTAAAATTAACAGTCGTGCTTATAATGAATTTTGATCCTCCAAATTGCACCTTTCATAGCTTGTAACGCTTCATCTTTTGGATAACCAATAAAGACACATTCATGATCTTACAATCAATTTATATAAGTTTGGTTTACGAAAACGAAAAAAGTGTTGAAGACCTTTAAGCTATAGTAGTCTACCGGTGTCTCAGTCCTAACCTTCATAAGTGTCTTAGAGTTTATTCTTGTAAATATACATCTTCCAATCTTGTAAGTTTTGGCAACAGCCTTACCGTCAAAATGCTTTGAAAGCCCAAATCGTAGCAACATGCAAGAAACAATCTAATGCATTTTCATCCCTTATTTCCTACAAGATAATGTCCCTTATTTCCTTATCGATCATATTGGTCATCTCTGTTTGCGTTAAGCGTGCAACCATCAATATTTCACTCTCAATACCTTTACATGACTTTATTGTGTTAGTATTATTTTTATTTTCACTTCCACAACTCAAATTGTTTTCGAAAACTTCTTGATGTTCCATTCAGAATCAATGGTGCCCGCATGTAAACTTAATCCCTTTGTCCTATGATAGGTGCTACTTGTTGTAGAATTGAAAGGCTAAATCATATCAAGACCTTTTATATGTGTAATACTATCAACAATGACAACCAAAATAAATAAACTCAAACAAAACTAATATGCACACCAAAGATTGTTAGCAAATCCATACGAACAAAGAAGGAAAAGATAAAGTGATAAGTACATAAATAATTTTTTTGCAAATCCTTCAAATCGGTTTTAAAGTCAAACACTACAAACTATATAAGGGATTCACATCTATATAAAACATGTGTTCTTTCATTTGATTAAATCCAAACTCTCATAAATCTTCATTCACTTAAGTGTTAAGTCATTAAACAACTTCAACCTTCAACTTTAAGTTTAATCGAGATCAGAACTAAATTTCAAAACATGTTTATGATTTTAGTAGTAATTAACATTTAAATTAACACTTATACTTATGATGAACTTTGATCCTTCGGATTTCACATTCCACAACTTGTAAATCTTTCCACCTTAACCAATGAATACACACTTCACAACCTTATCATCAATCTATAGAAGCTTGATTTGCGAATACGACAAAATATTGAAAACCTTTGAATTACAATAATTTATCATTTCCCACTCTAAATCTCCATAGATATCTTTAAGTTACAAGAAAATTATATTTCAAACTTCCAATTCTCAAGAACATCTCATACTTTCTTCCAAGTGTTTACTCTTGTCTCACTTAGAATTTCCTTCCTTCTTACCCCATGTGTCTATCGTAAGTCACATGTTTATGAATGGTACTAAAAATGGTTGAAAAACATCTTTTTAAGATATTAAGATGGGTGCAATCCATTTTCTTAAAATGTGTTGCAATCCACCAAGACGCGCTATGTTTTGTACGCATCTGTTTATGCCAAACTCAATGTATTTTTGCTAATCATCCGAATAGATTTTAAAGCCAAACACTAGAACCTATATAAGAGATTCACATCCAGATAAAATGTATGTTCCTTCATTTGGTTAAATCTACACTCTCTTAAATCTTCATTCACTTAAATGTAAAGAGTCATTGAACAACTTGAATCTCCAAGTTTACTCGAGATGGGAAATAAATTTCGAAACCTGTTTCTGGTTATAGTAATTAACACTGTAATAACGTACCCTGCGCTTCTGTTTTCTGATAGTACAAGTTAAATAAACTCTGACATAGTGAGTTAAAGAGCCTAAAACTCTCTTCACAATTATACCCTTTTGGTGAGTTTCTTTTTCTTTCACTCACTCAATTTATCAGTGTCCTTTTGAAGCTTTAGACGATAGAATGATAGGTCCCTCTCATCATAATGGCTTTGTCTGACTGCTTTTGGTCTAGAGAACTGATTCAAAGGACACCGTTGATTGAGACTACTCATCACCATCTCATCATATTTCCCAACACACCACAAAATAAACCCATTTTGCATCTCTTTTTTCTCTCCCTACACTTCTTCTAAAACTTGTAATTTCATCCTTCATATAACTTTATATTATTATTATTATTATATTTATGATGATTAAACTTTAGGTAGAGTTTTTTTGTCCAACCTAAAAATGAACAAGACTTGTAAGGAAAAGCTATATAGCATCTTTTCTTTTAGTAGACAAAGTTTTGAAGACCAATCCCAATCTAAAGAAAATAAGGAACAAATTGACAACCATGTTGTGTGTGTGATAGCAATAAATTCCTAAATTAAGAAAAAAAAATAAATGGTAGAGTCATAAATAAATACCAATAACACAGAAAAGCTAGAAATCAGAGTTATATAACAACACAGAAAAATATAGTCAGAAACCAGAATATCTAGTTATAGATTTCGTCTGTTTTCTTAGTTTGACTCTTCCAAACTAAGACTTCCCAATTAGGATTTTTTTTCTAAGAAAATTAACATAATAATACAACACTGATACAATACAATGGCACTGACACGTCGACATCAGTAATAATTTGAATAACATGTTTAAATGTAATTACTTATGTCGGTATCGTGTTAGACGCTGATATGAGGTGTTGAAAATATGATTATTTGGATGTAAATTGAGTATTACTAGGGTGAAGAGATTGAATCAAGAGGGTCTCATGAGAGTGTGGAAGCCATTTTTGTGCAGCCAAGTTTGAGAAGAGGGTGGTCTTATTTGAGGTGGGAATCCTGATGATGCTGCAGCAGCAGATGATAAATAATGTGATCCTGATTGCCATTGTTGTTGTTGATGATTGCTTGTTGATAACGAAAGATCACTTCCAACTCGGCCTCCGTAGCTGCTGCTAGGAAACTACATTAAGCGGAAAAAATTTACAGACCTAAAATAAGCACTTTTAACTCGAAATTAATATCGAAAATGAACTTAAAGAGAGTATGGTAGAATACTTACATGAAAATTTGGTGGGTGATGATGAGTATGTGCGAAACTGTGAAGCATTTGTGATTGATCTCGAAAGGGACCGTAACGAATATCGTTCGACGATGAAGAATGAAGATGAGTTTGACTTAGCATTCTCAATGCTTCATTCTCTCCATGCAAATCTCTTCCATATGGTTCCATGTTGTTTGGTCTATTGTATGGTTTTGGAAGTATATTCACAAGCTGAATAAAATTTCAACAAGAAAAACATTTAAATATTAGAAAATTTAACAAAAATCAGAAAATAAATAAATAAATAGATCATTTTATTTCATTAAACCTTAGGCTTGTTTATGTTTCCTCCATTCTGCCAATTAGATTGATCATGATTTGCAACATTTGATGTGTGATTCCCAAATGCTTGAGTGTTATTCATATGCTTTGAACTTGAATTTCCCAAACTTAAATCCAAATTGTGATCACCACCACTACTTGCTGGTTCTGTTGCATATATATAGTTTATACACCTTATAATATGATTATTAAAATTAATAAAAACTTCTAAATTTTGAGTCCATAGTTACAAACATTACCAGAATTAAGCTCACTATCATAGATGCTTGGTTCAAAATTAGTTACAGCTTCTTTTCCATTGCATTTTATTGCTGCTTTGTCATAAGCCCTATAGTAAAAAGAAATTATATTTGTACCAAAAAAAAACTAACATTTATTAAAACCCTAAAATTCATCCATTTCATTAAAAAATATTACCTTGCAGCTTCAACCTCTGTGTCAAACAAGCCCAGATAAACATATCTAGTGAATGAGAATAAAAATAAATTAATCATATATATGGTAAGAAAAACAAATAAAAAAATTATGATAATAAAAATAAGACATACTTTTTTCCTAAAAATTGACCCATTCTAGCTTCCCATCTTCCACATTTGTGCAATGTAACACCTCTATATTTAGAACTTCCTCTGGGAAATCCAGTGCTTTGTCGACGAAGGACATGAACAAACTCTTCCTTTGTCAAATTACTCATCTATTAACATGCAACATTAACTAAAAATCAATTCAATTCCAACAAAAAAATAATTATTTATTAATCAAAATTATAGTATAAGATCAATATTTGATTATCATTATCACCTGCTTCAAGTCTTCTTCATAATCTTCTATGTTGAAGTTTATGTCTGCTTCAACTCCTCTAAACTTAATAGCTGCTCTATCATATGCACTAAAAATGAAAAATTCATATTTGATTCACTTCAAGATTTTTTTAGGAAAAAGTTAAATTAAATATAAATATAAATATAAATAATTGAACATTTAACTAACCGAGCAGCTGCATGTGCTGTGTCAAATCCACCTATACAAATTTATCCAAACAAAACAATCTATTCAGTCACCAAAAATATTTCTATCTTGTCTCTACTGAATCATATCATATCTATTATATAACCAACAACAAAATAAGAAAAAATGTTTTAACCAAAATAATAATTACTCTAAAAATATAAATCTTTTCACATACCCAGATACACTTGTTTTCCACAATCCCTGCAATTATTGAAACATAAAAAATAAAAAAAATCAAATTTTTTTTTGAGGTTTAGATTTTTATGGAATGAAAATGAAACAAGAAATAATAATTATTACCATATATGAGATTCCCATCGACCTGTTCTTCTGTAAAAAGTAACTCCTCTATACTGTGAACTTCTTGACCTTGGTCCTCTACGACTCTTCTTCATAGGTTGAGAAGAAGATGAAACTTCCATTGATTTACCACTTCCAAGTGTTTCCGATTGACAAAATTTCACACCTACCCAATGAGCACGAGGAAAAGTAGAAGAACAAGAAGATGTTCCATTTCCACCACTGGATGCTACAACCATGTTTTCAGCTTCTTGATCCATGGGAAAAAAATTTCTTGTCACAGGAACATTTTCACTGTCTAAAGATTCTTCTTGTTCTTGTTCATGTTCTTGTGTGACAGAGAAACCAAATATCTTGCTGTTATTTTTCTTTACCATGCTTCTTCTGTTGTTGTTGATGGTGTTGTTGTTGTTGTTGTTGTTATCTTCTTCTGAATCTTCTTCGACTACGATAGCAGAAGAGCTAGAATTTGAAACAGATCCTCCAACACCAAGCCTTTTTCGTTTATCTTCATCTCTAGAAGATGTTTTGAGTGAAGAACATCCTTCAGAGTCTTCGTCTTTTCTCTTAAACGGAGAACCATTAAGATCCCACATTCTTTCACAGAATTAAAAGTATAAATATCTTATTTTGGCACTTTCATGAAGAAAAGAAAAAACTAAAACTTGGTTTGTTTAGTTTGTTATTTTCAGAAAATAAATAAAAATTTGGTTGGTTTGAAAGAGTAGTTGTCAAGTGAAAGAGGTTGAGTGTGATGATGGGAATTAAGAGAAGAAAAAATCAAACCTAGGACCAGTGAAGAGAAAAAAAGAGGTAGGTGTTGCAAAAATGTAGTAAAAGATGTAATAAAGATCTTTGTTTTGTTCAGCTGCCCAATACAGCATAGACGAGGCCAGTTTGAGCAATGTTAGCCGAAAGCATCTCTCTCAACTTCACATTAACACCATTCACTTTCTCTCTCTTACTCTTTCTCTCTATTTCTCTCTCTAACCACTTGTGAAAATTCAATTTCAATGACTCATCATATCATAATTTTCATTCTCATCAAATGTCCTTTTTATTTAATATTTCATTCATTCACTCAATTCACTTGTTTGTTTTTTACTGCATTCTTATAATGTTCTTCTTTCTATTTATTAGTAAGAGAGTCAGAGAGATAAATATATAACTTGGGAAAAATATTTGGAAACAAACAACCATCTCTTTCTTAGACAACTTTCCCACGTTAACAAAATCGAAAAGCATCTTGCTTGTAGATATGTGTTTGTGTTTCTTTCTCTTTCTATTAATTACCCGGTAATAGAAATAGACACTGCAACGAATTCAAAAAGATTATATAATAATCACTTAAAAATTAGTATCTTTTTTTTAATCATTCTATGATTACACACAAAGCCACTCTTTTTATTTACGTCTCTAAGCGTTTTTATCTTTTTAGGATTGTGACTACGTTTTACCATGTGGGGTGAGGGTCAAAAGAGGAAAGTAATTAAGGGTGGTTGAGGAGGGTATTTTGGGGAATGTGGAAACATGAGAAAAGAGGGTCCCATTGAGTTTTGGGTAATTTTGGGATGAGAAAAGGAAATGAGAATAATGGTAGTAAAAGGAAAAACTTTCCAGAAAAGTCCAATCCAAGAGTACGGGAAGAGGGCCACCTTTGCCTCTTTAGTTCTCCATGTAACCAATACCCTTCTTAAGCTGTACCTCGTATTTATGTATCAACTTTTTTTTACTATCCCACTCTTCTAAACCTTACGTGTTCTTCACACACAACTTGTGTTTTTTTTTTTTTTTTTAAGAAAACACTAACAAGACTTATATACTCAAAAATAGGGGTGCAAATTTAAGGATAGTTTGTAAAATGAAAAAATAATTGGGCTTTTAAAGGGTGGGCAGTTTAGTTATAATTACAATTAACATAGATTTAGGTTGCTATCTCCAACTACAAGTAAGATGATGATAACAATATTTTGCAATCATTTTTAATACATCTTTAAGGTGCTCTAAACTAGTAATGAACAATTTGTAATAGTATGTATCTAAGTGGCTTTAATCAAAATATGTTATGATCATCCCAAAAAGAATCAAAATCTCATAGGGCAGAATAATTCCAATATCAAGGCTTGGAAGTATTGTTTGAGGCTCTTGAAATCATATTTGTAAACTAATATGCATATTTGTTATCTAGAAACTAAAATGTTTATAGAATTCTGAATTATATTGAGCATATTTTGATTGAATATGTTTCACCATCTATCATAATGCCAATTATACTAAGTCTAAACTTATTTATAATGGTCCTGAGATTTCTCAATAAATATTGCAACTATATGACACCTATTAGAGTGTTGTACCCTAAAATTTGACCAACCTTTTCTTGTATTGACTTATGTTTCATTTCAATTTTATCATTTGCATTTTACATAGCATTGTTCTTAACAGGAGATCAGGAGGTGCATTGTGCCATTCAAGAGGAGAGTCTCTTTGGTTTCAAGCTCAAGCAAAAGGCAGTTGTGCAAGCTATCAAGTGTTCATCATCACCATGAAGTTGTCAGAACTCCTTGAAAAGGGATATGGGTGTGTGGCTGTTACCTCCTCCTATCTTGAGGATTGTCAGAGGCTCATCAGAAGATCATCAGGAGTTCATGAGGTCATTTATTTGGAAAAGACATGGTCTACAAGCTCATTGAGTACCCTAGGGGTCATTGTGAAGCTTGTGCAATCATTCAATTCATCTGCAAAGGGCACAGTCGAAATGTACGGGACTAGGGTTTCATCTGGTCAACCCAAAGTCAACTGTGGACTTGAGAGGGTTCAAGATTTGGTTCTAAGTCATACAAGCCATGTGAAGTCATCTTAAAGCATCTAGGATGTCATGTTAAGATCAAATCAAGAAGAATCAAGAGTTCAAGAAGTTACTAATTTAGGGTTTCAAATGATTTCAGTGTAAAATCTCCTTCTTTAGTGCCTGACTTCAAGGATAATTTACCCTATGATGCAAGCTCAATCTCTTTTTCATGAAAATATGAGACTTTTAGGACTTGTTCTTAGCTTTCTTTTGAGTATAAGAACTCATCCATTGAGTCTGTACATCTCAAGTTATGAAGCCAACAAGTTAGGGTCCTCAGATGAAGAGAACTTTGGTTAACTTAAACTCAACTCACTTCCAAGGCATTTTTGGCCTAAAATCAAGTTTCTCCTCAACTTCAAATGAACATGAAAGTTATTCCTCATGGTCTTAAATTTCCAAAAAGTCCTAGAAGTCCTCATTATCATGTGTGGAGCTCAAGTTATGGTATTAACAAGTCAAGGGTATTTTTGGAAACTTCATTATGGGTCATTCTTTCCAATGGTCATTTTCATGAACTTTAAGGCCTCAAATCCAATTTTGACCAACATGAAACTTGTGCCTAAGGGTCTCAACTTCATAATGGACTCAGAATTCATGGAGTTTGGTGCATTATGTGACCATGTGGACCATTTTAAAGGTGAAATGTTGACTTTTGGTCATGGTTCAAGTATCTTACATTACAAGTCACCTTTTGGCCTCATTTTTGATCTTTTCACACCAATACATGATCATAATTTTTTTTACCACATTTGGACCAACTGTTGCACCCCAAAATTTGACCAACCGGGTCTCGCATCTAGCTCGATGTTTCGACGCATAATCGCATTCGCATCTGCATATTGCATACATTGCATTTTTCATTTGTATTATCAGGGATCGCAGCTCTCGTCTCGCGTTTCAGGTGTTTAGATAGGTAGAATCAATTTTTGGGATATTTCGGTGCCCGTTTATTTTTACCGATTATTTTTGTGTCGTTCGGTGCTCATTTTGTCCCTCTGGGAATTATGGTGATTTTTCTGGATTTTATAGGATTTTTTAGGATTTAATAGATTTTAAATTCATTTTTAGGATTTAATAGGATAATATAGAATAGTTTTGTTAATAGAAATTAATTGTTTTTAATTTTAGATATAGAATAATATAGATTTCTCATTTTTAAATAGAGTTTTCTTTTATAGAAATAAAAAATGAATAGATTTTTCATAAATAGATTTTTCATTTTTAGAATATTATTAGCTTTTAATAGTTTTGATATTTTTTTAAAATCATCTTTTAGAATAATAGAGTTAAATAGATTTTATTTTAGATATAGCATTTTTCTTTTATTAATAGTGGAATTTAATTAGAGGTTTATTAGAATTTTTTAGGTTTAATTGAGGTTAGTTAATTACTTAGGATTATATGTTAATCATTTTTTCCATTAACTTTGTTGTCCAGATTTTTTTAGGTCCATATGCATTTTTTCGCAGGCCCAGTAATCAGCCAAGGCCCAATTGGTTTTTTTTGTTCAGTATGAGTCCAGCAATTGTCCAAGAAACTGCCAGAATTATCCAGCGTATTCCAGTTCCTTCCAGATCCTTCCAGAAGGTCCCAGAAATTCCTCAGCCTTTATAAGCTTCGTGGCCACGTGTGAGCACGGGGGCTGGCCCACGTTACCCCCTCCTTCTAGCGCCACCTCGCGTTCCATTTTCTCTCACCAGGCCACGCGTGGGACACGCGTCTCACATGCGTGTGCCCACCCCACTATCGCTCCATTCTCTCTCTCAGCCTCACACGTGGAGGCCTGCATGCACACCACCACGCCACCACTCCACCAACTCCCCCACGCGTCATCACCAAGCCTCCCGCCTGAAAGCCACCTCCGGCCGGCCTGCATGGCCGGCGGCCACCGCTCACCTCACCAGAAGCCCCAAAACTCCAGATTCCGTCCAACTTCCTTCTCCTTCAACCTTCAATCTTCATCCTCCCTCGTTCATCCTCTCCGATCACAACCTTCAACCTCCCCTCATCACCGTCATACGCTTCGCCGGAGATAATACCAGAAGCCCCAAAACTCCAGAAAACCTCAAGAACACACCAACACGATCCCCAGATCTTCATCATCATCATCAACGATTTGTTCATCTTCATGATCTTCCCCAAAAACTTATAGGATGAACCTTCAATCGTTCATCAAGAAACCCCCGATCCTCCTCCGATCCTCATCTGTTTCCAGAAAATCTTCAATCATCATCCTCCAAACATCATCGAATCGTACATGCAGATCTTCATCTCCAGAAAATCACCAATCACGCGTGTATCAAGAGTCATTCCCAGAAAACTTCCAACATCATCTTCAATCACCAGGAACTTAGTTCGTCAAAGATCTTCAACTCAGGTCCAGATCACATTAACCTTCATCTGTGTTCTTGCGAGATTCCTCACATGTTCATCAGCAACCGCCTTCAGATCATCATCTCCAGAACAAATCTCAGCAGAAGATCTTCATCCCTTCAGATCTCCCCAGATCTTCATGCAAGAGGACCGCAACCTTCAAACACATCCTCAGCTCTTCAATGTGTTCATCCACTGGATCTTGCATTTTTCCAGATCCTTCGAAGATCTTCGAACAAGCCTTCAAGACCCAGGTCCTCCAGAAAGAAGCTCCCTCAAGAATATAACTCAGCGAACTTTCATCATTTCTGCTGTTGTTCTTCTGTTTGAATGGAGAGAGGGAAAGATGTTGGTAGGCTCGGAGGATGGACG